ATAACCAGTGTATAAAAATAGTTATATTGAAGATGTGAATCAACAACCGGGTAATTTATTGGCATTTGAAAGCCCTGTGCTATAAATAGATTCAACAATGAGACTATCAAGTAACTCTGGGCTGTGGCAACCTAACCTCCATTTTTACTGACACAAAAGAAAGTCACATGTAGTTCAGCAAGGGACATCTGGCCCCCTTGGAAGAGATCACTGGAAGAGAAAAACACGATGGAACTAGGACCATGAGTCTGGCCAACTCAAACCGCTAGGTGAGGCAGTGGAAGAGACACAGGGGACAGAGATATGGTCTCTGCCCTCAGAGAGTTTTCAGGTTGTCCTAGACTGTAGGCCTGTACACACAATCGTCAGTACAATGTTTTAAATGCCTAAGAGAAGTGCAAATGAATATATCACTCCCTTTCTTTCCCTTACACTCTTCGGTGAAAGTTAAGTAGTACTTTTCTACCTTTTCACTCTTAAATTTCAAAGAGCTTTTCCACTGTTGGATGTAATGTGACTTTTAAAATAGTATTCACTGGGGCTTCCCTGGTGGCGCAGTGGTTGAGAGTCCGCCTGCAGATGCAGGGGACATGGGTTCGTGCCCCGGTCCAGGAAGATCCCACATGCCACGGAGCGGCTAGGCCCGTGAGCCATGGCCACTAAGCCTGCGCGTCCGGAGCCTGTGCTCCGCAACGGGAGAGGCCACAACAATGAGAGGCCCGCGTACAGAAAATAAATAAATAAATAAAATAGTATTCACTGGCCTTCACATCTTTGAGCTGATGGCCCCAGGAGTCTCCCTACTTCTTTGTGCTTTTGGAATGAGGCGAGACTGCTGCCCTCTTTGCGAAGAAGAATGTGGATCACCACCCCTACCCCCACCATCTCACTTCCGGTGAGAAGGTGGAGACTGGGGCAGCTGAGAGTTGGCCCATCAGCAGTCATTAACTGAGCATATACTACTTTTAAGGACTGTATAACTCTGGGGAGTCATCAGATAGGAAAGAACTAGACAAGATTTCTGGCCTCTCAGAGGAGTTTAATACACGGGATTGCCTCAATCAAGGTTCTTGGTTGAAAAATCGAACAGCTGTGTTACTGACATGGGGCACTGGACACCATCACAACGCTGCCACTAACATCCCAGAGTTCAGTTTTTCTGCAATCACTGTCACAGCCAGAAAATGTTCCTCCCAGTTCCCTGGACTTTGAGGAGGGTGTCTCTGCCTAGTCCTTAGTTGCAAAGGAAATTGCCTCAACGAGATGGGGTATTTCCAAATGCAGGAAAGAGGTTCTCTCAATTCAGTTTACCCCGACTTGTAGTAGATGTCTACTTAACTAAGAAAAAGAGGGAAATCATTCAGAGGCTGAAATTGGCCCATTTGCAAATTCACACAGTGACCGATCCTGATTTTTTTTTTTAACTCCTTTAGTAAAATTTCCTTTGTTAAAAACTTCTCGGGACTTCCCTGGTGGTCCAGTGGTAAAGAATCCGCCTTACAATGCGGGAGACGCGGGTTTGATCCCTGGTCAGGGAACTAAGATACCACATGCCCCAGGGCAACTAAGCCCACGCGACACAACTACTGAGCTCGCGCGCCTCAATGAGAGAGCCTGTGTGCCGCAAACTACGGGGCCCACGCCCTCTGGAACCCGTGCACCACAACTACAGAGCCCATGGGCCCTGGAGCCCGTGCACCACAGCTAGAGAAGAGAAAACGCGCACGCCACAACTAGACAGAAGCCCGCGCGCCACAACGAAGAAACCGCGCACCTCAACTAAGACCTGACACAGCCAAATAAATTAATTAAAAAAACAATTTGATAAAAATCCTTCTTCATTTTTCTCTGTATTCTTAAAAAAAATACACACATACTCATAGACACAGGTATTTTCTTTCCTCTCTCTTCCATTCCCCCCACCACCCCCGCAACCTCCTATCGATCATGATGCTGAAATCTTTTCTGGCTTAACTAATGGACATTTCTCCAGGTATGTGCATGTATTGCTAACCTTTTTGTATTAATAGCTGCATATTTTTCCATAATACAAATGTACGAGATTATTCACCCATTCTCCTATTTGATAGAAAATCACATTATTTCCAGTGTTTTGCCTTTGGAAACAATGCAGCAATAAGCATCTTTGAGCACATATCCCAATATTATAGGAGTTTTCACTTCTGTAGATTTCCAGAAGCAGGACTGCTAAATCAAAGGACACACACATTTTTTAACAAATACTGTATTACTCTTCCACAGTCCTACCAACAATATATGAGAGTATCATTGTCCTCTCCATCTTCATCTTGCTGCTCTTGCTATCAATCTTACTATTTTATCAATCTGATGGGTAAAAAATATTATTTTAATTTGCATTTTACTTAACAGCTGATAACTTAGTATCTTTTCATGTTTGTTTACTGGCCATTTACATTTCCTTTTCTGAAATTGCAGACCTATATCCTTTGTCCATTTTTATCCTGCACTTGTCTTTTTCCCAGCAATTTGAAGGTGTTCTTTGAGTATTAGGAATATGTCATATGTATTAGAAGAATTTTCACCAAATTTGTGCTTTTTAACTCGGATCTTTTTTTTTTTTTTGCCGCACAGCACGGCATGTGGGATATTGGTTCCCCGACCAGGGCTTGTACATGCACCCACTGCAGCAGAAGCATGGGGTCTTAACCGCTGGACCGCCAGGGAAGTCCATTTGGCTTTATTTACAGTGTCTTTGGACATATATTTTTTTATTTTTTTAAATTAAAATCTAATCTTTTTTTCATTATGGCTTTTGGGTTTACTGACTGGCTCGTGGTTTCCCTGCTTGCAATTATTCAAATATTCATCTAAATTTTCATACTATGTTACTGTTTTATTTTTTATATTCAAGCCTTTAACCTACCTGGAATTTAATTTTGTGTATGATGTAAAGAGGAATCAAGACTTGAAATTACTTAGAGTTTGCCATAACTCTTCATATGTTGTAGTATTTTCCATGTTTTCATAATACACCCTCCACCCAGCTCATAATTTCTCTGGTTTCAGACCTTTCTCTTGTCACATTGCTGTGTTGTAAACTGAGGGAGGGCATGTCTGTCTGTCTCTTTCTCCATTGTTTCCCTCAGGAAACACTTAATAAACAATTGCAAGGCACCTAGCATAGAGCTTGACATATTTTAGGTACTCAGAAAATATTTCTGGGAGGAAGGAAAGTGTTGAATTCACACCTGAGTTACTATGACTCCTTGGCAAGCTGAATATTGACTGCTTATCTTTGTTAACAAGGGGAAATGTCATTCTCCTTAAAGCCATTCAGTGTCTCATGAGTTCACTCTGTTCCTCCTCCTATATCTTTGTTCTTTGAGGCCTTCCTTCTCTCTATAAATCTGTCTCATTTCATAAGGATTCCCCTTAGGCAGGCTTTCTTCAACCATTCCTTAAAATTCAACAGTATTTATAAACTCTGCCATACTATTTAGCATTTAATCCACAATTGATTTTATTCTTTTTCAAGTACCCATCACTGTGCTAGGCACACAGCTTAGTAAATACTTAAACTGCAACTGAAACAATCATGCATACCAAGGTATAGCCTCAAGATTTGTTATGAAACCTCTTGGGACTAAGGAAGCAACAAACTGGGAAAAACTGGAAAATGACCCTGAAAGCTGTTAAATACCAGAATGATTTTTCAAGTGAAATTGTATCACATTTATTTTAAATACATCTGTTGGATGAACACATGACTAGGTACTGCCCTACCTGAAGGCAGAGGTCAACAGACTTTCTTTGGTATTTTCTATTTCCATGGGTCCCTATATGGCCTTCACCAACTTGGGCCTTTGGAGATTCAGGGGAAATGGAACTAAGCCTTATATGACCCTACATTTAGTTTGAAAATAACATCTGAATGGCTCTCACCACGTTCTGCATGAATTTTTAATGGAGAAACAGCTAATTCTAGGGCTATGGCAGAGAATATACAAGATGAGCCTGGAGCATCTTATAATGTCAGAAAATAAGAAAGTGCTCAAAAAATAAAATGATGGAAGTATGTCAAAGGGACACAAGTACCAACTGAAAGAACTCCCAACTGCCAAAGCTGGAACAATTTGAGCAACAAAATAAATAATGTAGTGCTGGATTATAGCCTAAGGAATAAAATAAATATCCCTGAGTTCATACTTATATAAGTGAGCAGCTGAATAAATAAATGAGGGAGAAGAAACAAATCTCCCATAGAGATTTCAGATTTATGGAGATACTCCATAAATGGAATTACTCCACCCTCAGGGAGGTAGAGCATAACTCTCCACCCCTTAAGTGTGGACTATACTCAGTGATTTGCTTCCAAAGAGCAAGTATAAAAAGAGAAAGTAACTTTACAATGGTGAAACCTGGCCAAGACTACCTTAGCCAAGTGCTCAAGATTAACATCATCAGTGTAAGTCATGTTGACAGTATGTACCCTTGATACGACATGATGAGAATGACACTTCACCTTTGTGGTCTTCCTCCCCAAAACCGTAAACACAGTTTAATCATGAGAAAAACAGACAAATCCCAATTGAGGTACATTCTACAAAATACTCAACCAGTCCTCAAAACTATCAAGGTCATCAAAAACAAAGAATGTCTAAAAAACTGTCACAGCCTACAGCAGTCGAAGGAGATATGACAACTAAATGTAATCCAGGTATCCTGGATGAGATCTTGGAACAGAAAATACACATTAAGCAAAACTAGTGAAATCTGAATAAAGTATGTAATTCAGTTAATAGGATAATGCTATTATTTCGTTAGTGGTGACAAATGTACCATAATAATATGTTTACAGAACTAGATGTGGGGTATATGGAAATTCTCTACTATCCTTGTACCTTTTCTGTGCATCTAAAACTATTTTAAAATAAAAAGTGTACTTAAATATTTTGAAAATACAGTATGGGCAACAGATGGCTACATGCTTATCTCTACAACTGTGCTTTTCATTACAGGGCGCTGGTGACAGTTTTGTGGGAGCGCTGGCCTTCTACCTGGCTTACTACCCTAATCTGTCCTTGGAAGAAATGCTCAAGAGATCCAATTTCATCGCAGCAGTCAGTGTCCAGGCTATAGGAACACAGTCATCTTATCCATACAAAAAAGACCTGCCCCTTGATCTGTTTTGATTGCTATTAAGTCCAAAATAAATATGCCTGGAAATAAAGTATACTTGGGGATGGCCACTCTTAACTAGCAACTTACTATGTCACCTTCTCCTTTCTTTGCAAATACTATATTCATTTATTAAGTCATCCTCAAGCCTTCATTTATTTCTTTATGATGATGATTTCTTTGCTTTTCATGCAAAAGTCAACTAGACAGAATTAAGGATTCCACAACGAAGACATGTACAAACAATACCACTATTCAGGAACCAGCAAACTCTACTGCCAACACATCATGATACTGTAATGTAACACCATACAGCAGAGGTTGCATACAACGTGTCTAGAGTCAGCAGAGAATGTTAAATAAGCGAAGGGGGCATAAGAATTGGGCCACTCAAGCGTTCCTAAGAGGGGCAGCTGACATTCAGCTTTGCCTTTAGTGTTGTCAAAGCTTCTGGTTTTGCAAGGGAAGCCAGAAGTTTGGATGTTTATTGAAATCTTTCAACATTTAGGTATCAGCAACTGATTTTAATTGTAAATACCACCTGTGGGCTGCTTTCAGCCCATGTGCTGAATAGACAAGTCATTTGCTAAGCCAGATTCTAAGTTTTTTGAAAAAAAAGGTGATTCATGCATGTCACAGACCCTTTACACTGGGCTTAGGTAGGATCAGGTGAAAGATTTTTCTTGTAACCCAAGACCACAATGTAGAGTTTCAATCTAAAAACAGCCAAGATCTCACCTAGTACTGCTTTGAATTAGAGCTTTAACAAAAGATGCCAGAAAAATAGCTGATTGACTATAATGCCACAAGCCTCTAAGATTCAACAACTGTCTAATTTTATTTCCAGAGAGCTGCGCTCACATTTCCTCAGGAGATAGATTGGGCCACAGGGAGGAACACCTGTTATTTTGGAACAACATTGGTTTCTTATTGCTTGTGGTCACGGTGAACACTTTATCCTTCTCCCCTATAAATGCAGTAGGATACGTACCAGCAGAGCTCAAAATGTGAGCTGATCCTTACCTTCAGCCAGAAATTTGACAAGTAAAGGAGAAAATGGGCAATTTTGAAAATCTGTAGTAAACAATAGCTCGAGTGGGAAAGTGTACAGATCTGGGTAGGGCAGGAGTCCTTATCTGATAGGGATTTCCAAGCTGTGTGGTACCACTGCCCCAGAAGCCCTAGCCATTAGCTTTATGGAAATACACTATAGCGCCTCTTATTTAAAAAAAAAAATCTAGGAGTTAAAGCAGTCCAGAGCTGTCCTAGAAAATCCTAGATACTACTTTGGAGACATGAGTTTGAGAATATGGACCAATGGCATTTTTCTAACTATATAAGCACAAATCAAAAATAGCAGTTCTCTTGGTTTCTTCTGTGTTACAGCTGGCTCCCTTCTTACCATTCCTGCTCACCGCGGCCATCTCTGTTATTGCATGGGAGTTCTTTCAAGATCACTCTGGACTGTGACTCTGCCTTTTCTGTGAAGTACAAGAAAGAACAGACTGGAAACTCTTGCACAAATCTCACTATGGAAAATTTTCTTTTCTTATATGAAACAATGGTTATTTTTTAGGAATGTAGTTTTTAAAATTTCAAATAGTGGGGGAAAACACCACTAAGAGACAATAGTACAGGCTATTTTAATATTTTTATTAAGGGCTATAAAAATATCCAGAAAGATAAATAAATGTGATGCAATGATATATGTCCTAATATGAAGAACTTTCTTTCACTGCATTGTTTTCCTTCACAATGGCCTTCAAATCACAGGAGGCAGTGATTCCATGCCATTTCCTCTTCTTTCATTACACGCTGCAGAATTTCTGAATCAGTATCCCGCCCTCAGTCTTCTCATTTATAAATCAAATTCATTTTCAATCCATTGTTTAGAGGGAGCGTATTTTTTTCTGTTCCACAAAGAGGACTTTTTTTTTCACTGAAGGAGGAGAAAAAAGGATTGTAGCAGAAAACTAAAAAGTATCGTCACCATTTTTTAATAAAAATACATATCAGACCATGAGCCCTCGCTTCTTTTTCTTTCCTTTGTCATGAGGATGGAGCTGACTTGCTAACTCAGTTCCTCAATCCCAGAGATCAGAGAAGACTGGAGAAAATGGTAAGGAAAACAAGGGAAGGTGCACCAGCCAATCAGTGGCATCCTTGGTACCCCCACAAGGTCACATTTCAACCAATGTGAAATAATCAAATTTTAAAAAAATTACAAGCAAAAAAATGAAAAACAACGTCTTCACCCAGCTAATGTCCACCCTTGTAGGAGGTGAAGCAAGAGCTAGACTCCAGAAAAAGAGCAGTAAAAACTGAGCAGACCACAGAAGAAAAGGAAGCCTGGCTGAAAGAGTAAATACACATTAAACCTTGTACTTTCCAGAAATGGTTTCATATACCCAAATATAAATTTTCAAGTTTGGTAATAGATTTAACATCATAACCCAAATATTATTATTTTAAACATCATAACAGAGTACAGTTCTCTGAAACACCCAAAACAAAAATGCTAACTGCCTGGATGAAAGATTAGAGACTAGATGCTAGGCAATAAGGTTTTCATAGTTCCTGTAATGCCCTATTATAGCACTCCATTAACATCACATATCTCTCCCTCCCCCGCCCCCCCCCCCCACCACATGAATTCTTCTTTCCCAAAAAAACCAAAAACAGTGCATCCAGGAAGATCCAGGAACTCAAAAGACTAAGACACAACAGCAACTCACCTGTCCCTACCACATAGAGATTTTAGCTTTGTTTTTTTGTTATTCTTCTGTATCAATATGGATACCCTGTATATGAGATTCCCAAACTGTCTATGATTAAGAATTAGCTAGAGAGCTTATTTAAATACACTCCTACTTCTTACCTCCACCTCTACCCTAATTCTGGTTCTGTAGAACTAGAGGGGGACTGAAGTCTGTATTTTTTAAAAACCCCCAGATGATTCTGATGGGCAGCTGAAATTAATAACCATTAACCAGTCAACAGAATTTTATCTATAAAGTTAATTTAAAATACATATTTTATTACTTTGTATATAGGGATATTTTTAATATACTTCAAATCATCTAATATTAAACATAAGTAGAACTCATGCTCCTTCAAAGTCCAAGGAAGACTACAAAGCATTATAAGACAGTAGTAAAGAACCCAAACAGCTTCCTACCAGACAATGTTATTCATTGCAAGAAATATTTCCCCCATGTTTTTCTACATGGAACTAAAAAATGGATAAAAAAAAGAATCTGTCTCATGGATAACCAGTCAGGAGATTATTTAAATGACCTTGAACAGAAATAACTGATGAATATTAGTAAAGCAAGGCTTTATTCATAAAACTTTTGACTTACTTCCTGCATTCCTTCCCTTAATTCAAAGAATAAATATTTAAGTTCACAGAACTGTGCTAGGCAAAGTGGAATTTATGAAAGCGTAAAAGTCCCTGATTTAATAGCAGTGTATCATGAGGTGCCTGTATGGATGTCCAGGAAGCCCCACAGGAACCTAAAGATCAAAGGGGACTGGAATGGTGAGGGAAACGCCTCACAGAGAGGGTCAGGTTTAGCCTCTGAAGCAGCAGCATCTGGATGAGCTAAAACAGGAAAGGGCATATAGTGTAGAGAAATGGTGATAGGAGGTAAGAATGACAGTGTTGACCACAGGGGAAGGTCTTGATTTAAAAAAAAAAAAGAAAACAGACTAATTTGGCTCCATGTAATAGAAAAAATATGGGGCCTGGAGTCAAAAAGATTGGGTTCAAACCTTGGTGCCACCATTTACCTACTGGGAGTCCTTGGGCAAATTTCTCAAAATACTCTTCCTTCAGTTTTCTTCCCTATGAGAGGGATAACTCCATCTCCCTCACAGGTTGCCAGACAGCAAACACTCAGTATGTGTTAGATAAGTTGAAATGACACACTGCTATCCACAATCATAAACATAAATTAATTTTCTGTCAAAATATTTGCTGCTTAATTCACAGAAGAATGAATCTGTCAAGTTCTTCCCCTACATCTAACCTAAATCTATTCTGCTTCAATTAAAGTCTATATTGTCTTGTTTAGTCATCCAAGGAATTAAAACTGACAAGTTTTCATTTTCTTTATAATAAACCTTCATATATTTAACAAAGTTTAATAAGCTTATGCCTCAACCTTTAATCCTTCCTCCTTGGAAATTTGCATCTAGTTTCATATGAGGAAAAGGAGTTTGAAAGGACTTAGGCTGGTTCTAGCCATAGAGTATACCATAAAGTACTCAAATAATTGGGAATTTTTCCATGTTTCCTTGCCTGATTTCCTTCATAAAGCAGACAAGCAAAACATTACCCTTAAACTAACCATTTATTCACTGCAGTAAAATATGCTGGGAGAAATGCCAAGCTATTTGGTACCCTGGGCAATGGGGCAGGCCGCAAGGCAAATATCATGCAAGTGTCCATGGCATTCAGTGAGTGGGCAGGAAGCCAAGTGCTCTGCTATCCCAGAACATTCTCTTCTTCAGAAGAGACAAAGTTGTGCTGTCATGGCTCCGACCATTCCTTATCAGAAAAGCTCTAATCATCTGTTTGAAATTTATATATGAATCTTTTCTTCCACTTTCAACTTACAGTCAGAACTGTTTATGGCTGTATCCTTTCCCAGTCTCAAAACTTAAAATCAGTCTGACAAATAGTAAGTTCCTAACACCTCCATACTAACAGTGAAAATTCCAATACATTTTCACACTTAAAATATCAGAGAAGGTTATTCAATCAACATTTATTAATGTTGTATAAGTTCCTAAAAAACTCCATAATGGAGCTAAAATGCTAGAAAAACAACTACTTTATTGTAAAGTTCATCACTTTGGGTTTTCACCAGCTGATACAAAGAAATCAGAGGGAGAAAACCACCACACCAATCCAATATCACATTGCTATGGTCTGAAAGTTTGCATTCCCCCAAATTTACGTCGAAATCCTAACCTCCAGAGATGATGGTATTAGGAGTTAGGGCCTTTGGGAGGTGCTTTGGTCATGAGGGTGGAGCCTTCATGAATGCGATTCATTCTCTTATAAAAGAGACTCCAGAGCTTGCCTGCCCCTCCACCATGTGAGAACACAGCAAGAAGAACCCCTTCCTATGAACTAGAAGAGGGCCCTCGCCAGAAAGTGACCATGCTGGCACCTTGATCTCGGACGTCCCAGGTCCCAGAACTCTGAGAAAGAAAGATCTGCTGTTTATGAGTCACCCAGTCTGTGGTACTTTGTTATATCAACCCAGACTAAAACACATACCTTATCATTCTAATAATTTTTCCACCATGAGATGTCATCCTGAAATTCAGACTCCTAATTATCAGGTACAAACCTAGAATCCCCTTTTTATTATAATAAAGAATGACCAGAAATTTTAACACCAAAAGAACAGCAGGAAATTTTATTTCTGTTAAAGAATGGAATTTATACCAATTTTAGGCTGACAACTGGGCTTCTCAGAGCCTTTTTTAAATGCCTCCTTACATTGGTACAGCCCTCATTTTTTTTTTAAGGTGGTATTATTTTTGTTTTTCTTAGACATTGACAAATACAGCATAATGAACAGTGGCTGTGAGACCTTCCGTACAAACTCTGAAAGCAGCTAGTAAGGTAGCTGTCAGCCAGATTCGCATTAATGCCCAACCACAGTTCATGCACCAGTAAGTGAGTTTTAGCCTCCTACGAAATCTCTCGATAACAGGTCCATACGTAGAGTGATTCCGGGCCTAGACTTGGAGTCAGACAGTCCTGAGTTCAAATTTGTATTCTGTCACATATTTTAGCTGTGTGTCCTTGATTAAGATCCTTGGTATCAGATTCCTAACCTATAAAATGGGGTTCAGATTGCCTGGAGAGTATGGGTGCTTATGTTACTATGCATTCACATATCTGAAGACCTGAAGACTTGTGTAGGTAAACAAAGAAGACAGAATTTTCCATTTGGTCTGGTTATTCACAAGCACTAGTTTGTTTCCTTTCTCTCAAGGATCACTGTCTTTTGTTGCCTATATTGTCCTTTTGTTGTTGTTGAGTTTCAAGTGGGAAAGTAAATTCGGTCCCATTGCTCCATCTTGGCCACAAGTGAGTCGATCAGGTCTTGTTCTTAGTTAAAGAAAAAGTTGATTATGACATTAAGTGCCTATCTTTCATTATATAATGGATTAATTTGGAGAAATAGGATTCTAGCACCAATTTCAACTCTGATCACCAACCAGGTGTCTCACAATTCAACTCAACTCTGACACTATCCTCCTGGAGATAGTAACTCAGGAACAGCCAGATGGAAGTGACGCATAGGGCAAGGTACAGGGAAGGGGAGTGAAGCTTCCGTGCCCTCTCTGAACATGCCAGTCTCCCAGAATCGCCACGTGATTACCAACCCAGAAGCTCCGGTACTGCCATTATTAACAAGCAATTATAAAGGGGCTGTTTCGAAGCAAAGGCACAAAAATGAGATGAATGGCCTGCAGTTTTGTTTGCTAGTTAATTTTGCATAAATTGGCTCATGAAATCCAAAAACAGGATAGGCTACCACCAACAGTAATCGGGGTGCTGACCCTTTTTATCTGGACTTTGGAACATTTGTCTCTTTCAGACAAATGTTTCTATCCACTAAGGCCATTTAAAGTTATCACTTACTATGGCATTTTAGCAGATGGTAAAACAGAAAATGAAATTTCCTACCCTCCTGCTCTAATATATAGACAGCATACTCTTTAACTCGAATCTGGACCTAATTACTTGCCACTGTTGGGCAGATGACCCTAGCAGAACATTCCCTCCCTTTTTCAAGACACTCTTCTCTGTTTCCAGAACAATATCCCCTATTCTATTTACATGGCTGCTTTCTCACCTTCAAATCTTTGGTTAACCATCTCCTACTGGATAGACTTTCCCTGAACTATCCTATCTAAAGGATAAAGGTAGGATCCACCTCCCCCCAACTTCATCCTGTATCTCAGCATCCTGCTTGTTTCTCTCATAGCACTTAGCATAATTTGTCATTTTTCCTTTCTCTCCCTTCCAAAACCAGACTGTAAGTGCCAATACCACAGGTACTGAGTCTATCTTGTGTCTTCGTATATCCCAGCACCTGGGATACTAACTAGCACCATGGTAAACTTTCAATATGTACTTGGAATGAATGCTATAGTGACAAAGGGGCCACAAAACTGCCGAAGATGTTCAGCATCAATCTGAACAGGGCATCAGGCCTTGAAAGCATTTGAATTTATTATGGAGCAACTTCTCTGAATCTTACCTACTGGATCATAATGCAAGAGAGTCAGTTTCTCCCGCAGTCGGCTTCTCTTAGTGTTGAAGGAAAAACCTGTTCCAGCTTGGCTCAACATTTTCACCAGAATTGTTCTAAGATTTAAAAGCAAATTGTTACAAGCTGAGGAAACAGAATAAAATCAGTCATGGGGGGATGGCACATTTTGAGAACCCTATACAGCAGTATTACTTGTGAGACATCACTTAAGCCTTAAATTCAGTTCTAAGACAGCCTATTTTTCCATAAATGACAGCTTGAATGGTTCTAATTCCCAAGATTTGTTCCATTACGCAGGGTACCTTGGTAATGACCTAACCAAAGCAACAAGAACAATCAAACCACACTGTGGGAATAGACTCAGACACCCACCTTTTAGAAAGAGCAGAAGTCAGGAGTTGGAAAAATACGCAAGTACTGGTAACCCTAGCTGGCCAGTCAGGAAGATGGCTGTCTCAGAAGAGCCCTATCTTCCATGGATGAGTAATAAGAGTAAAATCAGGAAAGGACAGAAAAAAGTATTGGAACTTTTACATTGACAATGTGCAAAACCTTGTTCCCCTTTATATTTTGTTTAAGTTGTTTAAGTTCTAGTCATCCAAAGCACTAAAGTTCATGTTTTGCCTCACTGGACCTTTTAATACCTCATACTATTTGTTACTCTTGCACATGTCTTGTCTCCCTATGTAGATCATGCTATTTGATTTCTCATCTAAGTCCAAAAAAGAATTTGAAGCATTCAAATATACAATATATCTAAGATATATTACACATCTTTGCATCCCTTTCAATGTACAGCACAGTGCCTCATACTAAGAGGGATAGAATATCTGTTGATTAAGACAGACAATAATTAGTCATTCATTCAAAAAGATTCAACAAATATTAAGTGCTTACTCTGTGGAAAGCACTATAGGAAATGCAAAGCCCTGTAAGTCCACATTTGCACCTTGGAGAACTACCAGTAATAGTATGGAAGGTGGGCCTCCCTGGTGGCACAGTGGTTGAGAGTCCGCCTGCTGATGCAGGGGACACAGGTTCGTGCCCTGGTCTGGGAAGATCCCACATGCCACGGAGCGGCTAGGCCCGTGAGCCATGGCCGCTGAGCCTGCGCGTCCGGAGCCTGTGCTCCGCAACAGAAGAGGCCACAACAGTGAGAGGCCTGCGTACCGCAAAAAAAAAAAAAAAAAAAAAAAAATAGTACACAAGGTCTGTAAGGCAAGACATACATGACAAATGGCACAAGGATTCAAAGAACATGACAGGCAGGGAGCATCTCTAAAGAAACTGAAGGCATGGGAGATTCCTACAGAACCTGAAGGTGGGAAATAAATAACTGGACTGTGGGAAAAGCTATATTAATCAATAAAAAATATTGAGGGTAAAACACTAACATACATGTGTTTCATTAAGTTTAATCCAAAAAACCTAGTTTTAAGGATTTGTGATGTGTCTTGGGTTGTAAACAAAGGCTGCTTTAGAATTTTTCTATTTTTAACACAGAAAATCTTACTTTGGTTATTGTCTACAAAATTTATTTTGAAATACCAGTTTGGTATTTATAGTCTCTCTGGTACAGCATGAAAACTTTAGCCTTTGCTATTTTTGAAATGCTTATACCATGAAGGCAAAGGATTACAAAACTCAATAAAACAGGCTCTGTCGATTAATCAAATCACAGCTTGTTCTGCTCGACTCCTGTAGTGGGCTCCAGACAAACGTCCCTTGGTCCTCAATTTGAGGAAACAGAATTACAGTGGTAGTCCAAAGAGAGCACGGGGACCCTGATGATTTGTTTAGGAACAAGACAGCAAGAGCAACTTTTTTTTTTTTTTTTTTTGCTGTGTTGGGTCTTCGTTTCTGTGCGAGGGCTTTCTCTAATTGTGGCGAGCGGGGGCGACTCTTCATCGTGGTGCGCAGGCCTCTCACTATCGTGGCCTCTCTTGTTGTGGAGCACAGGCTCCAGACGTGCAGGCTCAGTAGTTGTGGCTCACGGGCCTAGCTGCTCCGCGGCATGTGGGATCCTCCCAGACCAGGGTTCGAACCCGTCTCCGGCATTAGCAGGCAGATTCTTAACCACTGCGCCACCAGGGAAGCCCAAGAGCAACTCTTAGTAAATTATTTGAATGTTCACTTAAGTAGGTCAGTTGGGAAGGAGAGAAAATATTTTTTGAAATAGTTCATAGGGCCAAAATAATTCATCAAGTAACTAATCCTCAAATCAACTTTTAGAAAATTGAAGCCAAATGCTTAATTTCACATAAGGATTCATTGGCAGCAGTGGGACTGATGAATCTAACATAAACAAGTGAAGTTTAAAAAGAGAAAAACTTTTACTTACTTTGACTTGGTCTTGGCAACTTTTTTTGTAGGGAGGAAAGAGAAAAGAAAAATAACGATATATTATCTTGCTTATGCAAAGCTCATATAATGTCAGGATAATCAAAATTATTTAAATCATGAAGTAGGCCATAAATTGTCACTCAAGTCACTACTCCCTAGCTATTAGGGATCCCGTTAGGATTTTATAGAAGGTTTTTAAAAATCCAATCAGACCACCACAGTTCTGGATGTAATGCTATGCAGTCTCTTTTCAGTTGGACTGGTTACCTTTTAAATCTTCCTAAACTAAGATCTGCTCCACTTGCTCCTCTTCTAAGGTGCAAACACTTGCACTAGAACAAGCCTCTTGTTTGATAAGTTAACCTTTCCAAACTCCAACAACCATCACATCAGGTGGAGAAGTGAAACTAACTCTAACCGGGAAGTCAGCCTGGTGCATGGAAGAACACTGTCTTGGGAGCCAGAGGGCTTCTTTCCCAGCCCAGCTATATGACCTAGAGTCAATCACTGCTCCTCATCTTTAGAGTTCTAAACGACTGAACTAGAGGTTTTCCCCAGTTAGCACGTCCGGAGATTCTGCTGACACACCGCTACAGAGGGCGGGGGAAAGCGCCCCACTCCTGACGGGCTGACCCTACAGTCCGAACGAACCGCAACTGATCCTGAACCAGCGCCGCAGACCCCCGAGACCCCCTAGCCCCGCAGTGAGCGCGGCGCGGGGTCATGCCGGGCGCTGTAGTCCTGAAGGCCTGGGAAGTCGCAGCGGCAGCTTCCCGACCGGCGCGCGCACCCCACCCCGCAACGTCCCAGGGCCCGCCTGTCACGGCCTCCCGCCCCCGCTGCACGCCCTGCCACCGCCTCCAGCCCCACTTACAAGTGACCGCGGACAGGAACATGGCCACAGCAGCCTCGAAAGCAGGTCCAAATTCCCTCAACAAATAACTGCTTCCGGGGCACAGGCCTGTTCCGGAAGAGGATTCCGGAAGTGCTCCGAAGCCACGCCCCCTGTTTAAATCTCAGGGCTGAGCCCGCCTCTCTCCTGTGTTCTTTACACTACAGGTGTCTGTTTCGTGGTCCTGGAGTGTGGAGTCCCCTCCCCTTTTGGAGAGGGTCTTTGTTATCGCTCAGGGTTCGCGCCCCAGACCCTGACTCCTACTTCTGGGTCAGAGTTAGGTGCATGTTTCATAAATAATCGCAGCCGCCTACATTAAAGCCACAGGAACTCCCTATGTTCCTCAGCCGCTTCGGGCTGTCGGGCTCCCGCGTCATTTCCTTAAATTTGTTGCCTTCTTTTGCCTCCTCTGGCCCATCTCCATCTCCACCTAGTTAACATCTACTCTCAGTCCCTCCAGAATTGAGAACTCCACCTGAATATCCCTATTCCTTAATTATATGTTGGATTTCTAGGAGGGCAGGGCCCTGTGCATCTTGTTAACTGCTGTATCTAAGCATCTGCGTGGCAATAGGGACCTAATAGCTGAGATTGGGAGCGCTGACATAACTTGCTTAATGTCACAAAACTAGTAAACGGCAGAGTCAGAATTTGAACCCAGCTTTTGTCTGACTGCAAAGACTCATGCCTTTCCCTCTAGACATTGGGACCTAACCACTTTGCCATCTTCCAATCTTCACCTCTCTGCAAGGAAACACCGCTCCTTCAGCACCAGGTACTTCAGCAGAAACCTCATTTCCCAATAATCAGGACTTAAGGATTTTTTTTCCAATCTGTGATTTTACCTATATATTAAATTTTACAAACATGTGAAAGATTTATTCTCATGGATCATCCTCACTGCAAGTAATAAAATTATTAAGAGAAAATGTAGCTCTCCAATACAATACAACACAATTTTTAAAATTAGGACTGTCCTTGCCCTTAGTACCTCTAATGTTTTTTGTTTTCCCCATAACTTAATTCCAGCAACTGAGCACCCTCTAGGTGCCCAAACCCTTCCTTACCTTGTGCAGTTCAGCTGCTGACAAACAAGAGCTTCAGGTGTTCAAGAAGGTAAGGTTTCTTATTTAGGAAATTCCTTTTGGGGATCTATAAGAAAGGAACACAGGACTGGAAGCCAAGGGACGTGAATTCTAGTGTTTGTTCTGTCGCTTAGAAAGTCATTTCAACTCTTCAGACCTCAGTTTCGGGCCCAGTGTGGGCACTGGATCAGTGATTCTCATTCCTGAAGGTATATCAGTCATCTAGGGTCCTTTAAAAGACCTGGATGCCAGAGGAGAGGCCCAGAGTCTGTACAGTATTTCTTCCCCCTCCCCAATTTTCTATGAAGCATTTCAAATATATCAAAAAGTAGAAAGAATAGTATAATGAACAAACTATATACCCAATTCAACAAATGTTAAGATTCTGCTATGTATATTGATGTCTATGGAATTTTTTTAAAATATGCATATGTATATGCATATATATACGGTTAGGGTTTTTGGCTAAGCTGTGTAAATGCAAATTGGAGACATAACCTTTCACTCCTAAATATTTAAGTATGTATCTCTCAAGAATAAGATCATTATAACTACAATAGTGTTTTTATTCCTTAAAAAATTAATAGTTTGCGGGAGAAGCTGGGTAAGAGGGAGCAGTATGTTCGCGGAAGTCCCCGAGGACTTCCAGCCTCTGCAGAGGAGAAGAAGGAAATGGAAGACAAAGTGACTAGTGCAGAGAAAGCTGAAGAAGCAAAATTAAAAGCAAGATACCCTCATCTGGGACAAAAGCCTGGAGGTTCAGATTTTTTAAGGAAAGATTGCAGAAAGGGCAAAATATTTTGATTCTGGGGATTACAACATGGCTAAAGCAAAAATGAAGAACAAGCTACTTCCTACTGCAGCCCCAGATCGGACAGAGGTCACTGGTGACCACATTCCCACTCCACAGGACCTTCCTCAACAGAAACCATCTCTTATTGCTAGCAAGCTGGCTGGCTAATTAAAAGAGCTGAACTGCATGAATCTTCTAATTCCCATTATTTCTCCTTAATATGTTACTTCTCTGCTTTTTATTTCCTTTCACTCACTAAGTCATTTGAGAATTATGGCTTTGCAGGTAGTGGTAGTGTGTATGTAAGGGAATATACATGTGTAGAGTTTTGATTAGTTTAACAGTGCACTGATAAAAAGAACATGTTAGAGCAACATAATCTACTTGAAAATAATTGTATATATTACCTAACTCCTAGTGTAGGGCTGGTTCCAACAAGTAACAAGCAAGTTTTACAATTTTAATGCTTTGGCTTTCTTTAATTCATCTTAATTATAGCTTTGTATGTTACTCTTATTTAATATAGCCTCTATTGTATTGATTTCCTCTGCATTTTCCTTTTGGATTTTGTAAAACAGAAGTTTAAGACCACAAGTTAGAAGAAAGGTCACATATTTCAAACACAAATAGATTGGGCTTCAAAAGATTTGTATCCTGTGCTTGAACTTGAATGGCCTTAAATCTGTTTCAGCTTTAACAATAGAATTTTACTTGGGCAATATTTGCCCATTCTGGTGTAACTTATGTGACTCTAGTGCTTAACAGCTGCTGTTGAAGCTAGTATTCCTATTCAGTTTTATAGTGTCAGAATACCTTTTGTTGTTGAAGATGTGAATGAAGTGTGCATGTGCATCAACTGTTGAATTCACTTTTGTGCCATTTTTGTAAGTACAGTAGTTTTGCACAACCTCTCAAAAAATATTAATAGTTTCCTAATCTCTAAGCCATAGGCAAATTGTCTTTTATGGCTGTTTTCTTCAAAAACAGTGTCCAGTCTGGGACTTCCCTGGCCGTCCAGTAGTTAAGACTCCATGCTTCCAATGCAGGGGGTGCAGCTTCAATCCCTGGTTGGGGAATTAAGATCCTGCATGCCACGTGGCATGGCCAAAAATTTTTTTAAAATAAAATTGCAAAACAAAATGTCCAGTCAAGGTTCATACATTACCTTTAGTTGTCATAAATCTTTAATCTCTTTCAAATCTAAAACAAAACCCCTCACTTTTTCTTTATCGTGATACTGAATTTTTAAAGAGACTGAGCTAGTTTCTTGTGGAGTGTCTCGTATACTGAATTTGTCTGATTGTTTTCTTATGTGGTCATTTTATTTATTCTTCTATCCCCTGTGTTTCCTGTAAGTTGGAAGGTAAATCTAAAGGCTTGAGTAGATTTCATTTAGATGCTCTCAGCTTCATATCCCAACATATCAGGAGGTCCAGAATGTCAGGTTGTCCCACTGCTAGTGCTAGGTTGGCTGATCTCTGGATCTCTCCGTTGTAAAAGTAGATTTTGTTTCTCTTTGCAGTTTTCTGTAGGGTGGTACTTTGGCATATGAGAATATCCTGCTCCCCAAGAACCTTTCCTCATGGTTTTAGCATCCACTGATGATCTTTTTTTTGACTCAGGAATTACATTTGGGGGTACACAATGGTAATTTTTCTAACATTTCACTTCTTATTCGTTTGCTAGTTTTCTTCTGTAAAGAAGAGCTTTCTAGGGAAAGCTGGTGGTCCAGTGGTTAAAACTCTGTGCTTCCGCTGCAGGGGATTCTAGTTCAATCCCTGGTCAGGGAACTAATATCCTGCATTTTGCATGCCTGTGCAGCATGACCAAAAATTTTTAAAAATTAAATAAATAAATAAAAGCAGAGCTTTCTATAACCAGTTGAGGCTGAATTATAGTTCCTCCTAAAAAGTCAGGGTAAATGCTAATTATTTTCTCTTTAATTACTAACATTCAGAGTAAGAACTTAGCATGAGTCACTTCCAGTAGTGACAAAGAGGTTTTCCCCTTTCTGTAATTTTCTTTAACTTTTTAGTATCACTTTAACGGATTTTTATTCATTGTTTTATAATCAAACATGGTCATTATTATTTTTGATGTTTGAATTTTCCCAAAGTAGGTCATTAGGCTTCCCTTCAAGTTGGTCCAATGTTTTGTTTTTTTAATAAATTTATTAATTTATTTACTTTTTTCTGTTTTGGGTCTTCGTTGCTGCACATGGGCTTTCTCTAGTTGCAGCAAGCAGGGCATACTCTTCATTGTGGGGCGCGGGCTTCTCTTGTTGCACAGCCCAGGCTCTAGGCGCGTGGGCTTCAGTAGTTGTGGCGCGTGGGCTTCAGTATTTGTGGCACGTGGGCTCAGTACTTGTGGCTCACGGGCTCTAGAGTGCAGACTCAGTATTTGTGGCGCACAGGCTTAGTTGCTCCGTGGCATGTGGGATCTTCCCGGACCAGGGCTCGAACCCACTTCCCCTGCCTTGGCAGGAGGATTCTTAACCACTGCGTCACCAGGGAAGTCTCCAATATTCTTTTGACACACTTCCTTCCTTGCTTTCTGTCACCAGCTGTCTCAGGTTGACCTTGTACTTTCCCTGGCCCAAACCTGGAATCAGCCATTTCTCCAAGGTACTCTGATTCCTTTTTGTAGAAGCCACAATCTGATGCACAGCCACTGGACTAGATTTTAGTGGATTTCAAGCTTTATTTTAAACCATAGAATCTTCATTCAAATGAAATCTGTCTCCGGAGCTCACAGTGTAAAATAAAGCTTCATCTCTTGAGGGATGTCCTCAGAATCCTAGACTCCACAGGTCACAGAAACTCTGGACTATGGAATGGCCACATTCTCTTCCAGAGCTGTTGCTCTGGATTCCAGTTTGAGGTTTCAAACCCCACCCACAGGCCCTGCAGCCTTTTGTCATACTTCCCATTACGTACTTCCTTCTCACACTGTCTGACCATGCAGAGGACTGGTCCAGCTAGGAGAGAGCCCTGGAGACACCTTGGCAGCAGCAGGAACAGCCTGGAGCAGAAGACCACTTAAGACCTCTGCTGCCTCAGAGATAGGAAACAACACTTCAGAAACAATTCGGGACCACAGTTACAGAGTATCTGCCATAGACTGAATGTTTGTGTACACCCACCCCCCCAGCCCCACACTAAATTCATGTGTTGAAACCTAATCCCCAGTGTGATGGTGTTTGCAT